GAATGATATCAAAAGGTAAATTCTTTTCTATGAGGAAGGTTAGTTCATGCACAATCTTCTTTCCTTCCTTCGTTCGGAACTGACACTTAATACGATCAACAAACTGAGAAACAGTGATCGTACTCTTGTCTGCTAACATAGACGTTATAGGTCGAGACAACTCTTTTACCTTCATGCCGAGATGCAACTTACGGATTGCCTTCTCGGAGATGTAGGATCTCGTTGATCCTCAGTCTAACATCGCACCAACTCGTGTTCGTGCGATCTCAACATCTGCAAACAACAACTCGCCCTTAGTCTTCGCCTTTCGAGCCCACGAGCTACGTAATGCTAGCAATTCGTTACCTAACTCATCAAGGGAGTCATCCAGGGAGACAGAACATAAGACAATATCAGGGCGATCTGGATGATGGGCTAAGGAAGAATCATCCTCTGCCAATTGAGAAGAAGGGTAGGAAGGGGTCGTAGGCGCCTTACCTGTCTGTTCGTTCTTACACTTAATCTCAGTAGGAGCAGATGCTACTCCTACTGGCTGTTCGCTTTTGGGTTTCGGATCTGAGGGCAGTAGGCGATCACATGTCCTGCTGTGCCGCACTTGAGACATTGCGCATTATCCATGCGCTCTTGCCAAGTCTTTCTAGTCATACCCATTTCGACCCATGGCTTCCCATCAGCAATGCCAGGGTGCCATGGAAACGCTCTTTGTTTCTTCCCTCCTGTCCTGGGTGGTCCTCCCTTATTGGCCACAACAGCAGTGACTTCCCCCTTCCCAGAGTCACTGTTGTTATCATTCTCCTCGTTTGGCCACTTTTCCACTGTGTCGTCATCAAAGACGACAAGGGTGTGGTCCTGGCGCTTCTGTCGCCAGAGAACTCGTTTCCCATTGTACTGACTTCCTCCAGATTTAACTACCGCTGCATAGGAATTCTTGACTTGAGAAGTCATTTGTTCCCTCTGCAGGGCAAGGTCACGAAATTGCCTGTAGTTGTACCCCGGATGGGCTCAGGCAACGCGCGGGAATAGATGTACAACACTTGGCTGTCCTGCAGGTTCAATCCTGGAACTTGCAACAATCGGTCAACTTCTCGGGACAAAGCCTCCACTGACGTCCAATGCTTTTGACCAATTGACGTCAACTGGTCAAAGGCCTTGTCGGYCGTCGTCTTGTCGAGAAAACGGTCCTTGGTTTTTGCCAAGAATTGTTTCAGCGTCAGTGTCTTTGCCCACTCACCGATATCTTCGAAACCCGCCGCATTGGCCTTGGCCAACACCCATTGCTTGGCCTCACCACCCATGCAAGAAGTGGTGAACGCGACTTGGGACTCTAGCTCGACCGGTGCGGTACTCACATACGTTTGGATTTCTGCAATCCATAGCAACAGACTTTCTTCTTTCTTGTTTCAAAACGTAAATGGCAACTTCATCTTCACTTTTTCTTTTTTTTTCGGTTTTTCGGGTTCAGCGCTTATCATTTCTGGGGTTTCTTTAGGAGTAGACTTAGAAGAATGAGAAGAGTGAGGAGTAGATGGTGGACTTGATCCATTTCCATTGGATCCATTTCCATTTCCATTTGTCTTTATCACAGGACCAGCAGACTTTATTGCGTCCCCCATCAACTTTTTTACTTCTTTCTTCTCCTTCTTCTCTTCTTGTTCTTCTCCTCCCTGAATCTGATTCTTACCTTTCACAATATTAGCAATTGTTCTCAATCCAACAGCGATTTCATCCAACTGATTCTGGTGTCTATCAATCTTCTCTTCTAGAAAGGTAAGATATGTCACAATATGAGCCAACGTTTGTGACATGTCAGCCTGCTCACTGACTTCTGTTCCTATTATTTGCCTGATCTCTTGAACTCTTTGTCCTCTTCGCTGTTCCTGTTCTCTTCTTCGAGATACTTCTTCTTTCTTCCTTTCTTCCGCAGCCAAGGCCTCTCTTAGCTGCTGGATATTGGAATCAATCGATTCTTCACTTACTTCTGTTTTTACTTCCCCCTTGCGAGTAGCTTCCATGATCTCTTCCAGTTGCTTTAAAGCAAACTGGTCTAGAGCCTGTCGCCCTTGAGTAATCAGTTTGGAGGCCTCTGTACCGGCTGCCACAACTTCCACAGCCGTGATAGACTTCTTCAGACGGTCTTCAACCCCCTGAAGATCGAAATTATCACGGATGTGTTGTTCGGCATCCGGTCCAGACAGCTGTACCTCAACGAGGAAATGATTCCACAAGGCTAACAGTTCCTCTCTCTTTCTGTCAGCCTGTCCCCTTGTCCTRAGTTYAGACGGTCCTTCCCCAACGGAAAGTGTGATCGGAAAARAAAACAGGAAAGTAGTCAGGAATCTCGTCAAGATAGACTGTTGCAGACATTTCCAGAAGTAAGACATTTTGAGAGAATAGAAACACGAAAATTCGTTGGCCAGATTATTTACCGCAAAGATAAACAATAATTCACGGTCACCTGAATCAGCACGCTGTTCTACCGCAAAAGACAATAATTTCACGGTCACCTATTCAACACTCTATCTGAGTCAAAAAGAATAATAATAATAAGGAACATAAATTTTCTAATTCTGTTTGCTGTTCTGTTTTCAATGTGATGACATCCTACTCTATCTCAGGTACCGCACTCCAGGCCAGCATGATCATCAACAAACACAAGTGAGTACACAGGTACACAACACAGCCAAACAACAGGTAAGTCCGCCAACAAAAATCACTCAATAGTTAGCGTTTTCCCCTTCTTGCTGTTTCGTCCTTCTTTGTCCTGTGTGACCAGCACACAATCTGACGTTCGGCACCACAGCCACGTCAGTCTTCTTGYYRWGCCGCYTTAGTCATCAGAATGYTGTTTTCACTTAGGCACGATCGTGCCTGCCACGTGTCACCCCTGGCCTCCCAACTCAGCAACTCGATGAGTATGCCAGGCCAACAGGTCTAATCAATATCATCAATGGGTGCACGTCAGCAATGTATGCTGAAGTCGAAGTACCAGCCTGCCACAAAGTCGAAGTTCCAACC